AAAAAAAAAAAAAAGGGAGAAAAAGTCTGAAGGGCGTTATTCTTACCTTCTCCCTTCTTCTTATTAGAAGAAAGATTCTAAAAACCAGAAAACCACTGCCTGCCTCACAAGTGCAAGGTCCTGAGTTCGATCCCTGGTACCAAAAAAAAAAAAAAAGAAAAGAAAAGTGTAGACAAGTTCTTGTTACAGTTGGAAATATTATTTTTATCGTACAGTATTGTCTATATAACCTGAAGATTTGGGTAAATGTTTCTTAATATCTCAAATGCAGTTGATAAAAATATAGGAGAAAATGATGAATTTTTGTTAGTCTTTAAAATTTGATTAAATGCTAAACAAAAGAATAACTACTGAAGCCCTTGAATCCTCCAATCTGCCTAGAAAAGGGGGTGGCAAGGGCTAAAGAAAGAAAGACAATGGCGACATAATTTTGAAGTACATGGAGGCCTGGGAAGTCACTGAGAGAGTGGACAGAGACAAAGACACCCTGAGCTGGCCACTATTTGTTGGGCACACTCAATAACTGGGGAGAGTGTCCAGTGACTCAGAGGGTGGTGGTGGAAATCTCATGTTGATGAGGATCTTAGGTTCATGATGACGGTGAGAATGGTAAAGCATTCTTACAATAGTAAGTGGGATGAAACAGCAGGTGAAACCTTTCTCTTTTTTATTACTCTTTGGTTCTCAAAGAACCAGGATGTCTTCAGCTGATGTACTCTGGCCCTTGAGGATCACAGCATCAAGGGGCCTCAGCTTGTGACTGAAAGACACAAAGTTATGTTTGCTCATACCAGAGTGAGCTCACAGGCAAAGTGACACTGGGTCTCAGATAGTCCTGATCATAACTTAATTATAAAATGATTTTTCCCAAAAATTATGTAGAGTGGCTCTCATGTCACAGCCTTTCAGAAAGGCTGCTGCTGCCCAGTGGTAATGCTGAAGGCCAGGAATTAAAATCTGGTCTTATCTGAGATAAAATGCTGATTTTGTACACTTAATTGAGAATTTTTCTACTAAATTTAGTATTTTATTGTTGACAGTGAACATTTAAAAATAACTGAATGTATAAAAAGATTAGCATTCATTAGGAATCACACCAAATTACTGCCAGTTGAATATGTCCAGAAGAAAAGATGGTACAGCTCAAAGGTTGAAGTTCTAAAGTTTCTCTTTTCTCTCTCCTTCTCTGAACATACAGACTTTCAGGTTTGTATCTTTAAATTCCACATAAATAAGTCTTAGTATGAGCCTGCCTATGTTCGTCCATTACACTGATTCTAGTGCATTTGTATAACTATTTAGTCCTGGAATTTTTTCTTAAATTATTTTGATGTGTGTTTGATAGATTGTTTCCTTTCTTGCTCTCTCTGGAATTTCTGCCATGCAAATCTGTACTTCTTGTTTTATTAGTCTAATTTTCTTATCTTTTCACTCTCCTTTTTTATTTCAGTGTTAATTTGGAATGTTTTCCCAGATTTAGTTTGGATCCTGGCATTTTAAAAATATTATTTTCAGCCAACATTATTTTTAAATTATAAGGGTTCTTTTTTATTCTTTATATTTTCATTTTTCCACTTAAAAATGCAATATCTTCTCTTATGTGAATGAGATACCAATGCTTGAGAAATCTTGCAATGATTTCTGTTCATTCAAATCAACTCAAGATCTATATGTTTGGTGCCTATCTTTCACAGTAAATCTTTCATCTACTTCTGAAAAACACATAAGAAAATGAAAAGATAAACTAATAATAAGACAGTATTTTCAAATGACGTATTGGACACAGGACTTCTATCCAGAATATATCATGAAATCTCAAAATTCAGTTTATTAGTCAGCTTTCCCATTGCTGGACACAATATCTGAGACCCACAACTCCTTAAAGGAGGAGAGGATTAATGTGGCTTATGGTTTCAGGGGATTTAGTCCATGACCAACTGGCTTCAAAGCAGAAATATCATAGCAGAATGCTGTGGTGGAGCTCAAAACTGCTTAGATCCTGGTGGCCAGGAAGTACAGCAGGGAAAGAAAGCCAGAGAAGAAGGGGCCAGAGACCAAACATAGACCCTAAGGCTACATACACATTCATGATCCACTCAGACACACCCAGAAATGTGCTTCACCGTTCCCCTTGGTGGACCCCAAGCCAACAAAAGTGACTCTCCACCCAAACCACCACAGTGGGGCTCTGTATCTTTTATTGACGTACAGTCTCAGGGAGGTCATCAGCTGTACATAGAAAATAGCTATGCACTTTGTTTGGTAGATAAATTCTTAGATAGGCAGTGGATATTTCCCAACCCTCACCCACAGTGCAGACATAGCAAAGATCTACAAGACACTTGAAGGCCAGAAAGACAAAAGTGCCCTTGAATCCCCTGATACATGATCATTTGGGATGGTCGACATCTCAGAGGACACTAAAGAGTAGGCTCCTCCTGGTATCCCCCAACATACACATACCCACACGCACACACATGCACACATATGCACACACATTGCCGTGGAATAGGATACGCCCCTTAGATTTAATCCTATCCTAAAAGGAGGCTCTAGTTTTATGGATATTATGTGCCAAAGCTCTAATGAACTGTGCATTTAACATAGAAATAAAAAATTGGACAACAGGAAAGTATCAATTTCTTTACATACTAAGATTGAAGCCAGATTCAAATCTAATAAGTCAATCAAGTAAATTGTGGTGCTGTCCTACTATGAGGCTAATGAAATGAACAAGGAACCCTGATGAGCTAACTTCTCAGGAGTGCCAGAGTCTAACTGTAAGATTCAAACCTGTCCCTGTTCATGCTGGGATTGGACACCATCTGTCTGTTGTTGTGGCTTTAGCTTAAACTCCATGAGAACTCCTCTGCTTCTCTGGCTAGGCAAGATCTCCTGGTGGTCAGTAATGGAAGGGATTCCAGTTGTGTATTCCTTATGGAATTCCTTTCTCTTGTTACCAAGGAATCATATTGTCTGCATGTCATTTCCCAAGAACTCAGAGAGTTCTTCAATGTTAAGACACTTCCTCACCATCTTTCTTGGGATGAAGAAAGAAGGGCCAAGTTGTATCCAAACTTGTGTTCTTGGGTAAATACTTTTCCATACAAGAGCGACACTTTATCCCAAACATCTATGGATGAATTTACTGGAAACCTCCTCCTCCAAATCCCTGAACTCTATTGTCCACTGTGAAATCTACGAAGGGCTGAGGATTCACCAGTGTGCCCCCACCAAGAAACTGCAGTGAAAAGCAGACACTCATGCCATTGCTACAGGATGTGACACAGCTTTCTACTTCCCACTTTCAGCTGAAATACAAAATTTGTCAGCCTATTTTCAAGTTTGCCTGGAAGGAAAGTGGGTTGGGCTCCTGAGGACCTTAGCAGATATTTTAATATTTATTTAGTTGATAGTTCTAATTTAACAAAGTACAAATAAGGGTCAAAAGGGTCCTGTAAGAATTTTAAAATAATGAATTATTTTATATTTCCATTTTCCTAACATGATGCTCAAATATTTAACCGCAAACGTGTTGTTGGAATATGTCCGAATCTGAAATTTTAAAATTAAATCACCTGTCCTTTCTTTTCTTTGTGATTTTAAGTCATCATTAAAAAATAAAAATAAAAAAATTTAAAAACTGCTACACTTGGGCAAAGAAAAGACAGTGGTAACATTCTAAGGTCCCAGTTTAACCCTCTTTGGTTGGATTTGCTTAGTCTGAAATATGATCTTGTGGATACTTAGAAATCTTCATCTTTCTTTAAAATCTCAAAGGTCCTAAAATTGAGTAATATGATATTCACAGTACCTTCTCTGTTGAAATAATTGAATAAAGTTATATAAAAATGAATACTGTTTTGGTCTCAGTGTGCCACATTCCTATGTTGAAAAATTCAACAACCTTTCTCTAACTCTTACATTGAAATTTAATTACTCATGTGATAGCACTGAGAGATGGAGCACTTAGCACATATAGAAAGAGGTAGCAGGGGCTGTGAGCCTCTTCTGCCATGGGAAGACGCAGCAAGAGGTGTCTTCTATTAGGGAGCCAGCAAGCTTTCTCCACTTTTAGAGGCTACTACATATCGATCTTGGACTTCACATCCTCCACAACTGTAAGCAATACACTTCTGTTTTTTACAAATTACTCAGTCTAAAGCATTTTTGCCCTAGAGGCAGAAATGGACTAAGAGAAATCATGCCTGGAACTATAAAACTTCGGGTTGAAGGGAGGGCTGAGCAAGGGTGAAAAATAAGAACCAAGAGAGACTATGTAAAGGTGCAAATTTCCAATGATGAATGTCATTATATTTTATACCTAAAATGTATCAATGATTAGAATGAATAATCAAAATGCAAAATAAGAAGAAAAGGTCCAAAGGGTAGTGGTAGTGGGAGGGGCAGGGGAAAGGAAAGAAGGGAAAGAAAAAATGCTGAGAAATGGAAAAAACGGAAATAAAGTCTTTGTATATAGGGAAGCATGGAGGGGGTGAAGGGAGGGCTAGGAATGGGGAAAAAAAAAGAACCAAGGTGCATCATGTAAAGGTACAAGTTCCCAAAGAGAAATGTAAATGTGTTGTATACCTACAATGTACCAATAAAAGAATTTAAGAAAAAAAACCCCAAAAAACTTCTAGAAGACAGCATCAGGGGAAATCTGCATTCATCAATCTTTGGATGTGACACCAAAGTCACAGGCAACAAAAGTAAAAATAGATGAGGAAGGGGCCAGGGATGTAGGTCAGTGGTTCCTGGCACCTGCCTTGGAGGCACAAGGTCCCGAGAGTTCGATCCCCAGTACCAAAAAAAAAAAATGTAGACGAGGACACTACATTAAACTAAAGGGATTCTACACAGCAAAGAAAACCATTAACAGTGCAGTGACAACCCATGGAATGGAAGAAATATTTACAGATATAAAGCTGCAAGAAGCTCCTACAGCTCAATATAAAAAAAAATCAATGAAAAACAAAGAACTTTGGAGATTTCTCCACAAATGTTGAGCAAATAGCCAAAAGGTACACAAAGAAAGGCTGAACATCATTGATCACCATGAAAATGCAAACAAAGTCACAGTGAGATATAACTTCCTACCTGTTAGGATGACTATTATTAATGAAAAGAAAAGATACCTTGTGTGGGCAAGGATGTGGAAAAATTGGGACACTTGTACATTGTTGATAGAAATATAAAATGGTCCAGCAGCTATATATACTCACATTTCCAACAGTGTGGAGCTCCTTACAAGAAATAAACAATAGAACTGCATATAATTCTGCAATTCCACTCCTGAGTACTTAGGTGAGAGGACAGAAGTCAGCATATGGAAGAAATTCATGCTCCCACGTCCATAGCAGTCATGACCCACAACAGCCAAGTTGAGGAGCCAAACCATATGCCACCCACTGATGGGTGGATAACAGAAACGTGCTATGTACATGCAGTGGGGGATTATTCAGCCATAGAAAGAGGACAGTCTGTCATATGTCATGACATGAGAGACTCTTGAGGACATTATGCTACGTGAAATAGACCTGGTACAGAAGGAAAAATGCTGGATATCTCTACTTACAAGCCATATCTAAAAAGTCAAAGTCAGAGAAGTGGAGATAGAGTGCTCATTTCCGGCGTCTGGTGGAGGGAGAAAATAAAATATAGGTGTTCAATTGATATGAATTTTAATTATTCAAGATGAAAAGTTCTAGAAATATTTATTAAATTTTGCTTGTTGTTCACAGTACTGTATTATAAGAAGGCAGATTGTATTGTATTGTATTGTATTGTACTGTATTGTATTGTAAGAGGAGGGATTTTCATTTAATGTCTGTAACACAATGAAGTAAGAGGAAAAGCGAGAAATGAGTATCATGAATAACAGCAGCCTTGAGTGGCTAGGTTGGCACTTTAATTCAGTTTCTGCACTATGCAGGTGGACCATGCTTGCCTCTGCATTCTGTGCCCCTTCCACGAAGATAGAATTGGCTCAGCCAGGCTGACTGTGGAGTTCCCTTGGCCCTTATGATCTGCATCGTTCACGTCTGGTAGTTTGTGGACGTTTCCGGCTTGTTTGTATGCATGCCTAAAAGTTCTCCAGTGACAGGAGAACCAGAAATCTCACTCTTTTCAGTCTGTGTGGAGTGCAGCATAATTTTCTTCTATTTCTGCTAACATTCAAGCCTACTTATTAGTATAAACCTCAACCTGATGGCAGAACGATCATTTTGAATTGATTACAAATTTTACAGTAGGTTTAAGTTAAAATTCTGTTCTTTATATCAAGTTTTACCTTTTCTGGTGAAAGAAGTTTATAAAATAGACATTGCACTAAAAATGAATTAAAAGTTTGGAGAATCCTATGACATGTCTCTGGGATTTAGGTTTCCTGTGTATGAAATGAGATGTTGTGCTTTAGAGAGTTTCTTTTAATTGGTGAATGTTAAAGTGAATTGGTAAATATTACCTATTTTACAAAATTTATGACAGTTTCCTATGTACTTGAAGTATTTATTAAAATACAGTATATTTGTTTCTGAAATGTTTCTGGGAACTAAACCATATTTCCTCTTATTGAAAACATTTTTCACTGTATTTCTTCAGTGATTTAGATTTCCTAGTTTTCATGATTCAGTTTTAATGATTTAGGTTGTACTGGGGGTTTATCCATTTCTCCTAAGATTTTACTATTGGCTATATAAAGTTCTTTTAAGCTCAGGATAGTAAATACTCAATACTTTTTGATGATGAATAAATGAATGAATGAATGTTCATCTCAAGCATCTCCAATAAAGACTATATATGAACCCATGGGTCTGATTCATCACTGAAACAGCAGTACTGAAACATAGCATTGAGCAAAAAGTAATATAGAACTGAATGCACAAAGCATGAGCCCATGTATAAAACACTAAAAAATGGGCACAGTTACAGAGATACCCATAGAAAGGCTATACATTTATGTGGTAAAATTTATAGAGATAAAAATTATGAATACAAAGTTTGGGCTAATAGCTCATGAATATTTGAAAAAGGACAGTTATTTTATGAATTAAAAAACTAATTCATATTATTGTTGTTGTTTTTAAATTCTGTGTTGGGCTTTGTTGAGTGCTTGAGTTTTACAATGTTCAATTATAGAAACGTGTTAACTATCACCTTCTCAGATTTTGTCTGCCAGCCACAGTCGGACCTGCTTCCTGCTCAGGGCTCCAGTTAGATGTCCAGCGCTGCTCTCTACCACTCTAGTTTTCATGCATTCACTGTTCTTTTCATCCTTTCTACCTTCTGCTCTTTCTGGGCTATATTCAGGATATCACTTTTCGAGGTCTGTCTTCCTTAGAAATACAGCATTTCTTCAGTTGACTCTAACCAGCTGTTTAACTTTTACACTTAGGAAATAAACAATAAATAAATATTTTCTTTTTAATTTAGAAAGCACTTGAACCCCCTTTACCCAAACTCACCATTTTAATAAGTCTCTTGTGTATTCATTTATATTTATGTACCTATCTGCTCTGGTTATTGGTTAATTAGGAGTCACACCTGTTATTCTGAAGTATTTTCAAATCACTTCGTGTTTGAAATCATTGATATTTGTATTCCACCTCTTCTTTACTGAATTGCTGTCTCATTTTTCTGAATCATCCCATGAAAAACCTCCTAAAAAAAAGGGGGTTTAGATTAAACTTTGAGATCTTTGTATTTTCAACTTGATCTGAAATTTATCATATTTTGATGTCTGACCTTCTAAACTAATCCTTTATATCTTTCCTCTCATGAATGTTGAAACTTTTTTCTTTTATACTTTTGAGAGATTTGCAAAATTTTTCTCATAATTCATGTTTTTTGTTAAATTTTATGTATATTTAATTTCTTAGAGCCCTTTCATATTTC